CAGAGTTCACCTTTTACTGTGATCTCGACCAACGAACACTTTATAAAAATTCTTTGAATAACATTCAGCACGTATTGTTTCCTTACTTGTATTTGTTGTCTTTTATCAAGACTTCACCCTTCCAACATTTCCAGGTTTTGACGACCTGGTTGGTGATCTCAAGTAACCAACAACTCGAGTGTCCCCTCATTTGGATACCTCGGCTGACTCTAACTTGTAAATTTTTTCAAAAATTTCAACAAGTGTCAAGCCTATTCCTGCTTCCTTCATCTAGATACCTCAGCTGACTCTAATTTCAAAGTTTCAACAAGTGTCAAGCCTATTCCTTATTCCTGCTTCCTGCCCCCTAATGTGAACCTAAGTATCACTTATGTTCACATTAAGCATGCATTTTCAATTTTGCAGAAGTCTGATTCAAACAAATCTTAGCCGAGGTTTTCTACCTCGGTGTCTCCGTTAATCTGACTAGATCAAACTTAGTTCAACTCTATCGTTATGGCAAGCCTAAGTTATTCGTCATGTTTCATTCGGAAACATCGCCAACTTAGTTCAACTCTACCATAGGCAAGTTAAGTTCAACTCCACCATATGGTAAGTCTAAGTTATTCGTCATGTTTTATTCGGAAACATTACCAACTTAGTTCAACTCTACCATAGGCAAGTTGAGTTCAACTCTTCCATATGGTAAGTCTAAGTTATTCATCATGTTTGATTCAGAAATATCGCCAACTTAGTTCAATTCTACCATATGGTAAGTCTAAGTTATTTATCACGTTTCATTCGGAAACATCACCAACTTAGTTCAACTCTACCATATGGCAAGTGTTAATTCAACTCTACCAGCATAGCAAGTCTAAGTTATTCGTCATGTTTCATACTAAAACATCGTAAACTTAGTTCAACTCTACCATCTCAGCAAGTCTAAGTTATTCGTCATGTTCACCAAGGGAACATCGTCATAAGACTTTTCGATCTTATCGCATAATCATGTATTTCAACAACATTTTCACGTTTTTTTACATAGGCTTCAGCATCTTTTTGCATATAAGGCCACCAGAATCCCTGTGATATAGCTCTGTGGGCAAGGGATCTGCCCCCCTGTATGGCTTCCACATGCTACTTTGTGGACCTTGTATAAAAAGTCTTCAACCTGGAAAGGATGTACACATCGTAATAGAGGTCTAGTAAAAAGCCCTTTTGTATAGATGGCCTTCTGCCGACAGGCAGAACCTGGCCGACTTCAATCCGATCTTGTGTGCTTCCTTTTTGTCTTTTGGGATCTGGGATCTGTCTACTTAGATTGAGCTCTTCTCTTCTTGAACATACTCATCTAGGCTGAGATCTTGTCTTCTGGAATCTGGGATATGCTTACTCAGGCTGAGCTCTTCTTTTCTCGGACATAATCATCTAGGTCGAGATCTTGTCTTCTAGAATCCACAATCTGCTCACTTAGGCTAAACTATTCTCTTCTCGGGCCTAATCATTTAGGTCGAGATCTTGTCTTTTGGAATCTAGGATCTGTTCACTCAGGCTGAGCTCTCGTCTTCTCAGACCTAATTATCTAGGTTGAGATCTTGTCTTCTGAAATCTGAAATCTGCTCACTCAGGCTGAGTTCTTCTCTTCTCGGACCTAATCATCTAGGCCAAGATCTTGTCTTCTAGAATCTAGGATCTGCTCACTGTGGCTGAGCTCTTCTCTTCTCGGACCTAATCATCTAGGCCAAGATCTTGTCTTCTAGAATCTAGGATCTGCTCATTTAGGCTGAGCTCTTCTCTTTTCGGACCTAATTATCTAGGCCGAGATCTTGTCTTCTGGAATCTGGGATCTGTTCACTGAGGCTGAGCTCTTCTCTTCTCGGACTTAATTATCTAGATCGAGATCTTGTCTTTTGGGCACCAATTTTGGTTAATAGTGCTAGCATGTTCTATAATGGGGATGTTGGCTACATCACATTATTTTGCATCATAAGGTTGACCACTGTCTGTACATCTGTCAACTTATTTTCCATGTCTTTCAGTTTCCTCGTCTTTTCTCCAGCATCTGTCCCTCTATACCTGAAGGTCGCTTTCACGGTAGTACTCATCTCGACTACACTTATGTTCCCTTCTCGGCCTTTGGCGACATTTTTTGCCTCAGGATTCACTTCTTGTACTTTTCCTTTATGGTCCCCTCCTTTCAGTGTTAGGATCCACATGCTTCTCTTCCTCACTGTAGATGCCGTCCCCAATCCTCACTTTCTGTCCGTTGTTGGCCATCTATCCTTACTAAGTTCCCACAGACGGCACCAAATTGTGGGTATTGATTTCCGATCACACAACCAAAAGAGAAACTCAGCTGGAGAGCACCGGCAAAATAGATTAAGCCCAACAACCTGTAATAAAAAGATAAGAATTCTCGCGGTGGTTTGTCCACCTGAGGGCACTCAAACGATCAAGTCAGTAAATCTTATCTCTCACATATATCAAAACAGTACTTAATACACAAGTCAAAGCATCACAAATAAAAGCATACCTTAGACCCACGAGGGTGTCTTATTTTTATAATGATCAGTGTCCAACTTCCCCTAGAAGTCTTACTTCATGGGACTCTATCCTTTACAAGGATAACATCTATCACAACTCACACTATTCAGATTAAGATGAACTCCCTCAAGAGTCTCATCTCTATCCAAATAGGTAGCTTGATGTCATCTAGAACTCTAGTCCTCTATCCAAATATCTCGGATTCTAGTATCCCCACAGAATACCTCGGCAGTGCCCTCAACATCTCGACAAACATGATCTGCACACGTGGCACCTCGGCTGACACCTCAACGTCACCTTAACCACGTGGCGTCATCTCAAAATACTTCCCCACCTGTCTTCCCATAATTGAATGGACTTTGACATTTTGAACTTGCCGCCAAACCTCCTTTTTGAAGAAATTCTCTCCCTTTAAGCAAACTGCTCCAAGCCCAAGATGCTCTCGCCCCTCTAGTGGATCTTAAGAAGGTAGAGTGTGGAAAACACAACTCCTTAAATAATCTTACCCAATAAGACTGTGGATTAGTGAGCAATCTCCTTCCTTGCTTAACAAGTATTAGCACAATATGATGAATAGACAGAACTAGGAGCAACATATGGCACTACTTAATTGGATGGCATCCAAGGCATTGGAGTCACTTTCAAAAATTGAGACCTACCTAGAGGTATGCATGGTGCAGGCGATTTGAGAGTACAATTATAAACCAAATGGCGAATTGGCTGATTAACAAATTATGGTTTGGACAGTTTTGGGTGGATTAGCGATTGAAAAAATTCTTAACCAATTATTTGTTAGAATGTATTCCATATCGCCTAGAATTGCTCCATTTGTACTAGTTATAAGGTTTCAGTTTCCCTCTCCGTAATACCTGGGTTTTAAAGAGAAATGTGGGTTGGACTTTTCAATTTTATTAAGCATTTTCATAATATATAACACTAATTTGTATAATATTTTCATATATATAACACAAACAAATTTTATATAATCTTTTTCAAACAAATTTCACATCTTAAATTTCTCTCACATTTATTTTTACTTTAATATTTCATTAGAGTTGTGTTTGGTTGGAGGATTTGGGAAGGGATTTGAAAAGGAAAAGAAAAAGAAAAAGATAGGTGAAATGAAAATAAGATATACCTACATTTCACCTAATTTCACACACATTTCCCCTTTCCATTTCCAAATCCCTCTCCAAATCCTTCAACCAAACACAACATAGAGGTTAAAGAATATAAATGTATTAACTATAGTAGAGTGGAGCGGAATGGAGCAGTTTTAAAAGCGGATTATAAATTTTAACGTTTAATTTGCGGTTAGTGGATAGAACGGTGTAGATTGGTATAGATTAGTGTAACTTTTTACAAATTAGATGGTATTTTGCACGATGCTAGACTTACCTACCTTATGCAAATAAGAAATGTTACGAAAGGGAGTAAAGTTCAAAATATTCAATAAATATATTTTTGGGGATTATTTAAAAGTATTTTATAGAATAAATAAGTCTATTACAAGTAGTTCCTTTTATAGATTAAATAAGTCTATTACAAGTAGTTCCTTTTATAGATTAAATAAGTCTAGTACAAATAGTTTGTAGTTTCAGGTGATTGGTAATACATAAAAGTGCAGTATAGAAAATTTTGATTTCAAGTGCCCTATTGTTAACGTTGGCCATCAAGTCGGCACATTTGTTTTCCTCCCGATAAATGTGATGAACTCTAGGGTTAAACAGCTTTCACTACAAGAAAAGTGGGCAAATAACACGAAACTTTTTGTGACGGTGTGTATACCGTCGCAAAAAGTGGTCTTTTGCGACGGCATATGAAGCCGTCTCAAATAATGTTTTCTGCGACGACAGTTTCCCCGTCGCTAATAAGCACAGAACAAAAAGTCACTTAGATACGTAAGTTTTAGCGACGACACTGTGCACCGTCGCAAAAAATATTTTTTTGAGACGGGTGAAATTTACCATCGCAAATAGTGGACATTTGTGACGGGAATGCTCTGTCGCAAAAAAAAAAAAACCTTAATAAAATGGAATGTGATGAACTCTAGGGTTAAACAGCTTTCACTACAAGAAAAGTGGGCAAATAACACGAAAATTTTTGCGACGGTGTGTATACCGTCGCAAAAAGTGGTCTTTTGCGACGGCATATGAAGCCGTCTCAAATAATGTTTTCTGCGACGGCAGTTTCCCCGTCGCTAATAAGCACAGAACAAAAAGTCACTTAGATACGTAAGTTTTAGCGACGGCACTGTGCACCGTCGCAAAAAATATTTTTTTGAGACGGGTGAAATTTTCCATCGCAAATAGTGGACATTTGTGACGGGAATGCTCTGTCGCAAAAAAAAACCCTTAATAAAATGGCGTCGTTTTATAAATGGATTTGATCATTTGTGACGGTTTTGCCATGCCGTCGCAAATAGTCTAAAATTTCATCTCCCTCCTTAAGCCGAAATGGCGCTCGATCAAATTCCCTAAAATTCCCAAAATCCCTAACACATTTCTCCCTCAAATCCCTAAATCCCCAAAATCCCTAAATCCCCAAAGACGAGTTCGACGACGATCTCTCTCCATCTCTCGACGAGTGACGACAGTGACGGCTAGCGGTGTTCGAGTTCACCGATGATCACAGCGACGACGGCGAGTATTCACCGACAATATCTCTCTCGACGAGCGATGACAGCTAGCGGTGGTGCGGCGACGGCGTGTTACGATCTCTCTCTCCGAGCTCAGTCAGTACGTATGTTTGTTTAATTGAGTACACACACACACACTGATTGGGGAGCAAAGTTAGAGCTCTGTCAATGGCGGTTTCATCGTCTCCTCAACCTTCGTTTCTCTCTTCTCTCCACCTCAATAACACAACCACTGCCAACCTAAGTTGTTCGTCTTCCCCCAATCTTTCCTTTATTGTTGACGTTCAAACCAAAACCATCAATCCATGACGACGACCACAATCGATTGTCGTCTACTCTTCCAGTAAGTCTCCATTCTACAAATCCAAATCTTTCAATTCTTTTTTTACTTACTCTTTTTTTCTTAATGCGACAATTTCATAATCAAATAATGGACTCTCGAGTGATTAGAAGAGAGAGTTTCTCGAACGATACGGTCTTAATCCCGACGACTTCCTATCAAAACCTTCTCCTAAGGTCTCTCTCTCTCTCTCTCTATAATATCAATATATACGTATATAATATGTATGATAATAATGTAAATAAAGTTTGGATTTTGAATGTATAGACAAGGAGAAAGGAACTACGAAAGACAGGGAGGGGAAAGCAGGTCCCACCGGAGGAACCTAAGCCGCCAAGGGAGACTCATAAATTGCTTCAGGTGTGGAATGGCTTCAATTTATCTTTGTATTCAATGAGTTTGGGTAAATACATATACATTGTGATGTTCCAATTTGATATAAGAATTTTGGGATTATTTTACTATTTCACCACAATTTGGTTCATTAATTAATATGAAACTTTTCATGGATGGAACTGGTAGCTTGTTGATTAAATGAATATTAACTGCCCTTATTCTCAATGGTTTTGGAAAATTATGCGCAATTGGAAACCAATTTTCTATTCAAGTAGTGCATTTGAATCACTCGCAAGTGTGCTCAAACTCAAACAGATACAAAGTGTAATCAAACTACTTGAGAGAGAGAGAGAGAGAGAGAATGTGATCTAACTAGAAAAACTGTAGTTCAATGTCCATCTAAGTGTCTGTCTTGGTTTGTTTAGATGTGAATGCAAAGGTTAACCTACAGAATTGAGGCTTGCCATTTTCAAGGATACGCTATAGTGATAAATTTTTCATTATTGTTTTTTCTTAATATGAATAGTGCAATATATGCATCGTCATAAAAGAAGTAATATCAACCTTATTGGTGATTTTAGGTGCTTGGAGGAACAACTAAAAGGAAGAAATTGCTCTCACCAAAGGGCATGGACGTACGCCCAATGATGGAAGTTGTAAAAGGTGCAGCCTTTGACATTTTGCAAGTAAAAGATATCTTATTCTTCAAATGTTGTCCTCTAGTTCTAGAAACAAGATGATACTTCAATTTCTTTGTCTGCAATTAACCTTATGTAGATGCTATTTTGATATACTTATAATGTTGTTTTATTAAGGTGGCCGGTGGTTGTCCTGCATCTTTAAGGCCTGGTCATTTGGTTAGACTTGTATAGCGGCACAGGATCTGTTGGTATTGAGGCTCTCAGCCGGGGATGTTCTGAGGTACTATGATTAATTTAGTAAACTCGCAGTAATTTTTTAATTAAATTTTTGGATAGTTTGATGTTTGAGAAAAATTAATTAACAATTGTGGACTGTTTGATGAACGAGAAAAAGCATTCTAAAAGTTAGGATGTGATACTTACTATTACTAGGTATGAAGGGGTTGACAGTTACAAGATTGGAAAGGCATTATTAGAAAAGTAAAAAGCATGATAGCTTTCACATCAACTCAGGTGTATGATTTATATAAATAAAATAGATAATTGTTTATAGCGTTGGTAACGATGTTTGGCTGATTGGCTAGCTGGTAAACTAATGTTGAACTCATATAGGATGGAGTAGCTTCATGATATAGTTGAAAAGATGCGTTTGACTTGAGTTTTGGCAATGAGATTTTTTGATGAGTTTTTTGGTTTTAGTTTCTTTTGCTGTTTTGATTTCATGTTTCTCTTATTGGTTTGCACTGAAATACAGGCTGTGCATACTGTCAGGTGCATTTTGTCGAGATGGATCCTTGGGTTGTTCATACTGTGTACAGTATGGATTTACCAGCAGATTTGTAAGTTCGTACTGTGTACAGTATGGATGTACAGTATGGTCTGTGTTTGGAGAGTAAGAGTTCGAACAATGTGGTGTTAATAGGGAGCAGATGGTGTTGTCTCTTTGTGTTGGTTATGTAGCTGCTCTCTTCATTGGTACCTTCTTAGGCATGCTCTCTGATCTAATGTAAGTGCATATTCTTGCCTCAAGTTTCATCTTGTTTATGTTATTTTCATGTATTTATATTCAGTTTGTTGTATGAATATGATGTCAATTTAATAGGTCTGTATTTTGTCGAAAAAATAAAGTTTATAGGATTGTAGTCTATCACATATATTGAGCATCCTTGCAAACGCGTACACATTGAAATAACTCAGAACCAAGGTTCTGAAAAGCAGTTGCGATCGCCGTAACGGTGGCGGTGGCGGTGGCGCAGTTGAGATTGCGGGGTGTAAAGGCCGTAGCGTAACGGTTGCGGTAACCGGAGCCGTGAATTTTTTTATTTTTCACACAATTTGAAAAAAACTTACCGATACGCATATTTTTTTTCCATGATCATATTTATTGGGATTTAAAATAAATATTGATCAATTTTTGTAAATTTTTAAGTATGATCCAATATATTTCATATTTTTAAATTACTATAAACTGAGTTTTTTCCATTTTATTTTAATAATTAATGACTTTATATTATACAAAAACTCAAGCACTAACTATTATATATAAGATAAATAATGACAAAAGTAAGAGAATAAATAAGAGCCTAAATATATATATATATACATATTTTAATCAAGCCAAATAGATAATGACCACACTTATTATTATTATTATTATTATCAAAAAATATATAGATAGACACACACAAACAAAATGGTTGAGTGATAGCAATTGAATAGAATAACATAGGTCTTATAGCTTCAACAAATCAATAACATGTTCTTCATCTTCCCTCTTCTCTCTCTATCCCTCTTCCCCCATTTTTAGCTTTTTTTTGTGTGTTTTTTCGAAAAAAGAGTTCGGAACTGTTACGTAACGGTGCGCAACAGGCCGTTATGTCTGTTACAGCACTGTTACAATCGCTACGACAGCTGCTACGACCGACACACTTGTGAATCTCAATCACACTGCAAAAGCGGCAGTAACGGGTGGCGGTAACCACCATAACCTTTACGTAACGGTGTTACGTAACGGTTGCGGCCGCTTTTTAAAACCTTGCTCAGAACTGATGAGACATGGTGAATATCTTGGAGGATTTTTAAGAATTGCTGTATTTAATACTTCAGATATTATTGGAATTTTCATGTCATTTGGAGATCATTCACAATGTTTGGGTTTTCCATGAATACTTTGCGAACTATGAGAGTTATGGGTTAGATTTGTTGGCTTCATGAAGAAGTAAGGCAATACATCAGGAATTTGATAACAGTATGAAAACGGCATTGCAATGATCTGAAAAAATCATGATAATATGTTGGAAACAAATTATTTAATATTTCTCGATTGTGTAAGTTTTTACACAATTCTGTCTAGCCGAGAAAATTGCAAACATTTCTTTTCTGCTGTTAATTCAAACATGGAAACCTTGACACTTCATGTATTAAGCTTCTTCTACTGGCTACAGTATGCTTACTTTGTTGAGTGCTATTGTTACATTTCAATGATTTTTATGTTTAATGGGATTGCAGTCTTTTGGATTATATGGGCTCCCACTATAGTGGTACACTCTCGACCTCAATCTGAGTATAGTTCTATTAATCTTTGTTTGGTTTCTAATGGATAATTTTCTTCCTTGTTATCTAGATACTGTTGAGTGGAAGCATATCAAGCATTTTAACTAGTTTTCTGTAGTGCATAACTCAATTTTCTTTAAGTCCTGATTTTGGAACATAACACTGTTAATGGAAATGTTCATATGATGAAAAAGTGGGTGTTTATGATGATGAGTCCATGACTTTAGACAACATTGAAAAAAATTCCTTGAAAATTTGCTCCATAAAAACTTTAATTAGAAAGTTGAAGTTTCTAAATGTTTTAAGGGACCAAATTGTCTACAGAGTTTGAAACTTATGACCGGGGATGTTCTGAGGTACTATGATTAATTTAGTAAACTCGCAGTAATTTTTTAATTAAATTTTTGGATAGTTTGATGTTTGAGAAAAATTAATTAACAATTGTGGACTGTTTGATGAACGAGAAAAAGCATTCTAAAAGTTAGGATGTGATACTTACTATTACTAGGTATGAAGGGGTTGACAGTTACAAGATTGGAAAGGCATTATTAGAAAAGTAAAAAGCATGATAGCTTTCACATCAACTCAGGTGTATGATTTATATAAATAAAATAGATAATTGTTTATAGCGTTGGTAACGATGTTTGGCTGATTGGCTAGCTGGTAAACTAATGTTGAACTCATATCGGATGGAGTAGCTTCATGATATAGTTGGAAAGATGCGTTTGACTTGAGTTTTGGCAATGAGATTTTTTGATGGGGTAATGATTTGTAGCCCTAAAATCCTCACCCCTAATCCCCCTAATTTCCATTTCTGGCAACTGTTTCCTTTTTCTTTTTTTTTTCTTTACTTAATATGGAAATTAGGGGGATTAGGGGGATGTTTTTTAGGGGATGTAGCATGACCCTTTTTGATGAGTTGTTCGGTTTTAGTTTCTTTTGCTGTTTTGATTTCATGTTTCTCTTATTGGTTTGCACTGAAACACAGGCTGTGCATACTGTCAGGTGCATTTTGTCGAGATGGATCCTTGGGTTGTTCGTACTGTGTACAGTATGGATTTACCAGCAGATTTGTAAGTTCGTACTGTGTACAGTATGGATGTACAGTATGGTCTGTGTTTGGAGAGTAAGAGTTCGAACAATGTGGTGTTAATAGGGAGCAGATGGTGTTGTCTCTTTGTGTTGGTTATGTAGCTGCTCTCTTCATTGGTACCTTCTTAGGCATGCTCTCTGATCTAATGTAAGTGCGTATTCTTGCCTCTAGTTTCATCTTGTTTATGTTATTTTCATGTATTTATATTCAGTTTGTTGTATGAATATGATGTCAATTTAATAGGTCTGTATTTTGTCGAAAAAATAAAGTTTATAGGATTGTAGTCTATCACATATATTGAGCATCCTTGCAAACGCGTACACATTGAAATAACTCAGAACTGATGAGACATGGTGAATATCTTGGAGGATTTTTAAGAATTGCTGTATTTAATACTTAAGATATTATTGGAATTTTCATGTCATTTGGAGATCATTCACAATGTTTGGGGTTTTCCATGAATACTTTGCGAACTACGAGAGTTATGGGTTAGATTTGTTGGCTTCATGAAGAAGTAAGGCAATACATCAGGAATTTGATAACAGTATGAAAACGGCATTGCAATGATCTGAAAAAATCATGATAATATGTTGGAAGCAAATTATTTAATATTTCTCGATTGTGTAAGTTTTTACACAATTCTGTCTAGCCGAGAAAATTGCAAACATTTCTTTTCTGCTGTTAATTCAAACATGGAAACCTTGACACTTCATGTATTAAGCTTCTTCTACTGGCTACAGTATGCTTACTTTGTTGAGTGCTATTGTTACATTTCAATGATTTTTATGTTTAATGGGATTGCAGTCTTTTGGATTATATGGGCTCCCACTATAGTGGTACACTCTCGACCTCAATCTGAGTATAGTTCTATTAATCTTTGTTTGGTTTCTAATGGATAATTTTCTTCCTTGTTATCTAGATACTGTTGAGTGGAAGCATATCAAGCATTTTAACTAGTTTTCTGTAGTGCATAACTCAATTTTCTTTAAGTCCTGATTTTGGAACATAACACTGTTAATGGAAATGTTCATATGATGAAAAAGTGGGTGTTTATGATGATGAGTCCATGACTTTAGACAACATTGAAAAAAATTCCTTGAAAATTTGCTCCATAAAAACTTTAATTAGAAAGTTGAAGTTTCTAAATGTTTTAAGGGACCAAATTGTCTACAGAGTTTGAAACTTATGAAACTATATGTTATGGTGTGTAATCAAGAATTGAGGTCTTTTCTTTAAATTACTTTCAGCTCTTTATTCGGACTTAACCCATAATACTATAGCTCTGTCACTTTTGCTAAGATAAGAAGAGTAGAAGGCTTTGTATTACCAAATTATAGTGGAGGAGGAACCCAAATTTAAAGGCAATGAACCTTCAAAAATAGTGATTAATTGATTTTTTTTTCTTTTTCTTAGATGATGTATGAAAGTCATGAGTAACGTTTTCGTACTCTGTACAGTATGGATTTACCAGTAGATTTGTAAGTTCGTTTTTACGACCGCCTAGGAACGAGAGACTTGTGGGAGAAGACGAGACTCCAATCGGGTTCCCGATTTGGGAGTTAGAGCCGTATTTCGGTTTAGGCAAACTAGTTCCTTAAGAAACTTGAATTCGAGGTGTTGACGTCTCGAAATCATCAAAATGGGTCGGATTGGCATGAAACTTGGCATACACGACCGCCTAGGCACGAGAGACTTGTGGGAGAAGACGGGGCTCGAATCGGGTTCCCAGTTTGGGAGTTAGAGTCGTATTTCGGTCTAGGCAAACTAGTTCCTTAAGAAACTTGAATTAGAGGTGTTGACGCCCCAAAATCACCAAAATGGGTCGGATTGGCAAGAAACTTGGCATACATGACCACCTAGGCACGAGAGACTTGTGGGAGAAGACGGGGCTCGAATCGGGTTCCTGGTTTGGGAGTTAGAGCCGTATTTCGGTCTAGGCAAACTAGTTCCTTAAGAAACTTAAATTCGAGGTGTTGACGCCCCAAAATCACTAAACGATGTCAGATTGGCATGAAACTTGGCACACATAACCGCCTAGGCACGAGAGACTTGTGGGAGAAGACGGGACTCCAATCGAGTTCCCGGTTTGGGAGTTAGAGCCGTATTTCGGTCTCAGCAAACTAGTTCCTTAAGAAACTTAAATTTGAGGTGTTGACGCCCCAAAATCACCAGAATGGGTCGGATTGTTACGAAACTTGGCACACACGACTATCTAGGCACGAGAGACTTGTGAGAGAAGACGGGGCTCAAATCGGGTTCCCGGTTTGGGAGTTAGAGCCGTATTTCGGTCTACGCAAACTACTTCCTTAAGAAACTTGAATTCGAGGTGTTGACGCCCCCAAAATACCAAACGGGGTCGGATTGGCACGAAACTTGGCACACACGACCGCCTAGGCACGAGAGACTTTTGGGAGAAGACGGGACTCCAATCAGGTTCCCAGTTTGGGAGTTAAAGTCGGATATCACTCTAGGCAAACTAGTTCCTTAATAAGCTTGAATTCGAGGTGTTGACACCCCAAAATCACCAAAAGGGGTTGGTTTAGCACGAAACTTGGCACACACGACCGTCTAGGCACGAGAGACTTGTGAAAGAAGACGGGGCTCGAATCGAGTTCCCAGCTTGGGAGTTAGAGCCATATTTCGGTCTAGGGAAACTAGTTCCTTAAGAAACTTGAATTCGAGGTGTTGACTCCTCAAAATCACCAAACGGGGTCAGATTGGCACGAAACTTGGCACACAGGACCGCCTAGGCACGAGAGACTTGTGGGAGAAAACGGGACTCCAGTCAGGTTCCCGGTTTGGGAGTTAGAACCATATTTCGATCTAGGCAAACTTGTTCCTTAAGAAACTTGCATTCGAGGTGTTGACGCCCCAAAATCACCAAACGAGGTCGGATTGGCACGAAACTTGGCACACACGACCGCCTAGGCACGAGAGACTTGTGGGAGAAAATGGGACTCCAGTCGGGTTCCCGGTTTGGGAGTTAGAACCATATTTCGGTCTAGGCAAACTAGTTCCTTAAGAAACTTGCATTCAAGATGTTGACGCCCCAAAATCACCAAACGGGGTCGGATTGGCACGAAATTTGGTACACACGACCGCCTAGGCATGAGAGACTTGTGGGAGAAGACGGGACTCCAGTCGGGTTCCCGGTTTGGGAGTTAGAGCCATATTTCGGTCTAGGCATACTAGTTCCTTAAGAAACTTGAATTCGAGGTATTGACGCCTCAAAATCACCAAACGGGGTTAGATTGGCACGAAACTTGGCACACACGACCACCTAGGCACGAGAGACTTGTGGGATAAGACGAGACTCCAATCGAGTTCCCGGATTGGGAGTTAGAGCCGAATATCACTCTAGGCAAATTAGTTTATTAAGAAACTTGAATTCAAAGTGTTGACCCCCCAAAATCACCAAACAACGTCGGTTTAGCACGAAACTTGGCACACACAACCGCCTAGGCACGAGAGACTTGTGGGAGTAGACGAGACTCCAGTCGGATTCCCGGTTTGGGAGTTAGAGCCATATTTCGGTCTAGGCAAACTAGTTCCTTAAGAAACTTGCATTCGAGGTGTTGACGTCCCAAAATCACCAAACGGGGTCGGATTGGCACGAAACTTGGCACACACGACCGCCTAGGCATGAGAGACTTGTGGGAGAAGACGGGACTCCAGTCGGGTTCCTGGTTTGGGAGTTAGTGCCATATTTCGGTCTAGGCAAACTAGTTCCTTAAGAAACTTAAATTCAAGGTGTTGACGCCTCAAAATCACCAAACGGGGTCGAATTGGCACAAAACTTGGCACACACGACCGCCTAGGCACGAGAGAGTTGTGAGAGAAGACGGGACTCCAATTGGGTTCCCGATTTGGGAGTTAGAGTCGGATATCACTCTAGGCAAACTAGTTTCTTGAGAAACTTGAATTCGAGGTGTTGACCCCCCAAAATCACCAAACAACGTCGGTTTAGCACGAAACTTGGCACACACAACTGCCTAGGCACGAGAGACTTGTGGGAGAAGACAGGGCTCAACTCAAGTTCCCGGTTTGGGAGTTAGGGTCGGATTTCTGTCTAGCCAAAATTATTTACTTAACTATCTTTGTAATTATATAGTAGTTAATTTTTTATTTTTTTTGTAATTAAAATATTAACACATAATTACATTGTCATTAATTATTTTTATTTTTTATTTTCAGATATTTCCTAAGTAGCAGTTTGCTTCTTGTGGAATGCAGGCGTGTGAAGATTGCGACAAACTTTTATTTTTGTAACCCCCGGAAGAATCATGACGAAAACTTTTATTTTTGATTTACGTTATTTAGATTTGTGAACAACATTATGTATGTATTATGCAACATTATGTGGTGGGATAATTTTGCTAATGTGTTGTTATGAATAGAAGAATATTTTAATTATGGATTAATTTTTATTTATATACTGAAATTTTTATATTATTATGTAATTATTGGTTTCTTTTTTAGTTATTTTTCATTAATACAGGTAATTTTCATATTTTAAATAATTTTATTACATTTTTTTTTTTTTTTTTTTTTTTTTTGAGACGGCACCACACTGTCTCAAAAAAAAATTAAAATCAGGTTTTTTGCGATGGTAGTATAGCCGTCGCCAAAGATATTGGCATTGTTTATTAGTTGAAACAAAAGGCCTTTAGCAACGGTATTCTTCACCGTCGCAAATAATATTTTTAGAGACGGGATGTTGCAGTCGCAAATAACCATTTTAGCGACGGTATTTGTACCGTCACAAATAACCAACATTTTTAGCGACGGTATTGTTGCCGTCGCAAATAACCATTTTAGCGACGGTATTTTAGTGCTGTCTCAAAAACTTCAAATTTCTACACATTAATGGCAACAGTATTTTGCCGTCGCTAAAAGGCATTTTTGCCGTCGCCTATATTTTGCGACGGCGTCTCACCGTCGCTAAAGGCCTTTAGCAACCCCTTTTGTTGCGCCCCCCCTCTTATCGTCGCTAAAAGCCATCTGCCGCCACAAAAAAACTTTTGAGACGGCGTTTTGGATATTGGCGACGGTATTTTACCGTCGCAAAAAAGTAAATTTTTTGTAGTGTTTCTTAGTAAGTACTTATAGTCAAGAATGATGGTATTCAACCTATGATGTGTAATGTTTTTAGTTAAGGCAAGGTCAATCACTAATTTCGCATTCACTTTTACAACTAGAATTGTAAGAAGGATATCATTTCCCAAGTTTAGTCCAACCCTTAGGGCCTATAGTTTTTCCCATTAATTGTTTTGGATCAATGGTCTTGTAGAATCTGATAATCCATCTCTTATGATAATCTCGAGTATATGTATTCTTGATTCTATGTCTCTCTTATTGAGAACTTATTAATTTAATCATTAAACTTTTCAATTTGATCATTTAACTATTGACCGTGAATTTTACAAGAACTACAAGACTTGTGATAGCTAATCCCTAATCTAATATGGGTTAGGATTGTTTCCCTTACACCCCCAATATTTATTTGTGTTCCAAACGTAACTTTTTCATTTTTTTTTTCATCGATTAATGATTCGTCTACCAAATTCAAACAAAACAAATTTAATAAATGCAATGGTGCTATTTTTCTTGAGTGGGGTTCAACGTCACACACTACTTTAGATCCTCAGACCATCAATCCAAAAGGAGATGAGATAAGAGGGTTCTTTTTCCTCACTTCTATGTGAATGGACCACAAATTTCAGGTTTGTCTCAAATTTTAAAATCAATTTCCCCAATTGGGATGCTAATGGACCCCACTATGAGTTAGGAAGCTTTGTGAAATTAGAATTTGAAGCCTTAGGCACAAGTTGAAAATGTGTTCGTAATTAGGAAAGCCGAAACCTATACAAAAGAAAAAGAGCAATGTTATATACTAAAATTGTTTTTTAAAATCTTATTAAAATTTTGGATAAATTACACTATGATCTTTTTAGTCGCTTTTCTACTTTGACTTTTAAAGGGTTTTTTTTTTTTTTTCACTTTAGCCTTTTAAATTCTTTTTTTAATTTATTTCTAAAACTAATTTATGTTTAAAATTAAACAAAAAATACTATAATAACTGTCACATAATATTAAAAAAAATTATTATTATATTAGAATTTAAATATATACTAGAAATGTGAATCATATATAATACAATATTTTTATATTGCGTGACTATGAATGTGTCATTTTCTATCTAATTTTGAACAGAAACTAACTTTAGGAGTAAAGTAAGAAAAACTAAAAACATGAAATGGCCAAAGTGGAAAAAAAGAAATTTTAAAGACTAAAGTGGGAAAGTAGCCAAACATAAAGGGAATAAAGTGTAATTTATCCTTAAATTTTATGTGGTTAAACATCATTAGGTGTTCAAGTGTGACAAACAATTATATTTAGCCTCTCATATTTTTAGTAAGATTTTTAATTTTTAATAAGGGTGTTAATATATATAGAATTATTCAGAAAGTAATAAAAGTATCTATAGTATCTATACATTTTTAATATTAGAAATGTGATAAAGGCTGTCATGCCTCAAAAACTTACACAATAAAGATTCACCAACTCCCATTGTTAAATGTAAACATAAGTAAATTTTCAATATTAACATCATCTACAAATCTTCAACATTTGTATTCGTTGATCATTAAGAGATTTGCAAATGGTATTCCACATGCAAATATACATTCAACATCTCTAGTATATAAATCTATAACATGTGGTATAACAAGTCAAGTACAAATAAACGCCCTCAAGGGCTGCAAATTCTATGGCTTAAGCCCAGTTATATAAAAGTGGTTTTCAAACCCATACACGTTTGCTAAAAATAATTACAACAAAAGATAAGAGCCTTATGCTCTCAAAACAAACCAACACGCCTCTAACTTGGCGGGATCACCACATCCTTTCCTACAGAAAATCTCATAGGGGTGAGCACAAAACCTAGTAGGAAAACCTTAATAAAGTATATATATTTTATACAATCTCATGTAATGAATGTACATGCCATGTCATGTTCAAAAACATATATCTTTATCTTTTGGAAACCTTTATGAACAATGCAATCTTGAGAATTCAACAATTTAACAATTTCAATGTAGTTAACAGGGGCAGTAAATACGACTTAGGTAATCCCTAGATTAGTGTCTGCAAGTAAGCTTAACAAGCACTGCCAATCCCCACTCTACCGGTTGCTAACTGGAAGGCACGTGATACCTCCTCCGCGAGCGTTTTCGGTCTTTCACTATGGACACTCAAGCCAACTTAACCAATACCAACTATACCCCCTTTCCTGACTTACCAACATATTTACCCCAAAAAACAAATCAACATGATTTTGTTTCACAAAACAATTTTCTTTCTCAAAACAATACCTTTTTCCAATGCAATGTTCTAAATCAATACCTTTTTCCAATGCAATGTTCTAAATCAATAGTATCCATGACAAAATGGAATGACTATGCAAATGCCCAAAGCAATAATAAGGTTCCATTTAGACATCTCAACAATGTCAATACCAAAAGGGAGATAATAGTTAAATCACGTGACAATGCTAGACAATTCCATATCAATGCCTTGAAATTTCTCAAATTATCCACAAAATCCTCTATTGTAATAAAATTTCACATCTCTCATCAATATAACATCATAATATATTTTATGAAGGCTCCTTATGTTAAACGTCTTTTGTAGCATTTATTCTTCTACAATAACAACAACCAGCTCAAGCTTTTCAATTTCTAGAATTTCTCATTTTCTCATGAAATCTCTTCATTTGATACAACTATAGAATTTCCTCTATTATTTACTCACACGGTAAATTATCAAGTATCAATTTTCCAATCTCACAACTTTTTTCCAAAATTTTCAAATTCTAGGGTTTTTATCAAAACAAGATTTTTGTTTCATTTTCAAAAAGATTTTTTCTAAAACAACACCCACACCATATAACATACAAAAATGCTAGAGACCCTAAAAATTCTATCAAAAGTTCTACTAAATGTCTCACATGCGTGTGGGATTCACATCAGACCCACATTGTGTGGGTCCCACGCCCATGTGAAACATTTGGTAGAATTTTTAGGATCTCTAGCATTACTCTATAACATACTTATATTCCCAAGAGTTTTGGGAAAAATAAATGAATCAACTCCATTCATCATCTATGGTTCCACAACCCAAGTTGATCACTCAAAACATGATAAAATACTAAAAACATGTATAAACTTGCAAAATGTATATATAACTCAAAGATTATCCCTACTTTAAGCTTTGGAATTCCCAATCTTGCAAAATGTATATATAACTCAAAGATTATCCCTACTTTAAGCTTTGGAATTCCCAATCTGCACGAGCGAAAAATTTTCCCTTCACGGGCGATTGCTCCAGAGAGCTGTCCAGAAAACCACCCAAAAGCCGCTCGAGCGGTTTTCTACACAGAAAAACTCTGAAAATGTTGAAAAAACCTGTAAGGATCCGTTCGGGCGATTTTCAATTCTGCACAAGCGATTTTGCCCAGAAATTCAGAAAGTGATTAGCTCCAATACCCAAAACTCAAAGTTTACAACCCGAAAAAGTTACGAGAGGTTAAGTAAGAGTCGAACAAATTTTCAATAACTAAAAACAATGAACAAAACACTGTGTGGGTCCCACGCCCATGTGAGACATTTGGTAAAATTTTTAGGATCTCTAGCATTACTCTATAACATACTTATATTCCCAAGAGTTTTGGGAAAAATAAATGAATCAACTCCATTCATCATCTATGGTTCCACAACCCAAGTTGATCACTCAAAACATGATAAAATACTAAAAACATGTATAAACTTGCAAAATGTATATATAACTCAAAGATTATCCCTACTTTAAGCTTTGGAATTCCCAATCTGCACGAGCGAAAAATTTTCCCTTCACGGGAGATTGCTCCAGAGAGCTGTCCAGAAAACCACCCAAAAGCCGCTCGAGCAGTTTTCTACACAGGAAACTCTGAAAATGTTGAAAAACACTGTAAGGATCCGCTCGGGCGATTTTCAATTCTGCACGAGCGATTTTACCCAGAAATTCAGAAAATGATTAGCTCCAATACCCAAAACTCAAAGTTTACAACCCGGAAAAGTTACGAGAGGTTAAGTAAGAGTCGAACAAATTTTCAATAACTAAAAACAATGAACAAAACACTGAAAGAAGTACATACTACTCCACTAGACAATACTATTTAAGCCTGAAATCCGGGACGTCACAAAGGCTC